TGAACTAAATTCAAGTTCCCTTTAAATATCATTTAAGAAAAAAGTACCACAGTAGTATGGGGACCAAGATGATGCCTCAAAGAAACTACCTCTGTCTCCCCATGATAATACTTATTTTTATCCATCATTTATTGAGTGTTTGGTAGGAATGCTGGCTAAATTCTTAAGATGCAATATCAATCTTCAAAGCAACCCCAAGAGGTGGGGCTACTATCATCACCTATGCTGGAAGGTCAAGGGCCAAAGAGTTGAGAATGGACTGTCCTGGGGCACTGAGAAGACCAGCAAACAGCATCACATTCCTCAGGAGGAGCTCTGGGAAGAGTCAGAAGGGCTGCCAGGCACAGAGAGGTGTGCAGAAGGAGCTGTCTGGTCGCCAGACTCAAGCTTGTTCCAGATGTTGCCTTTTCCTTTTAAGTTCGGCAGATGATTGGGCTCTGCACCCAAGAGGAGAAACAGATGCCAGCTTCAAGTTTCACAGCAAGACGCAAGGCCATATCCTCCTCCCACATCCACCCCAGCTTTGAACAGACCCTAAGGATGAGTACTTACCCACGAAGTACTCCATGAGTGAGCATGGTCCCTCACCCCCGAAGACATGCTCTCCACAGGAGATCATCTATCTGGGCTCTGATGGCCCCTGGCCTGCCGGGCTGCTGCCTGTCCAGATGCTCTAATGTTGATCTGGCCTCAGCTCTGGCCTAACACAGGCCCAGGGCTGGGTATGCTCAGCTCCTAGCTAACCAGAAAACCCTTCAAGGTTTTCCTGAGTGTGCCAGGAGCTCAGGACAGAAGTGGCCTTCAATACCAGACAGAAGAGTTTGGTTAACAGGGCACCTTGGTGTTGAGGGTGATTCAGGCTTGAGGAGGGGTCAAATGGCAGCTTGAAATAAACCAGAGCAAGTAGGCCTGAAACAGCCAAGATATTCTACAGGTGCCTGATGAAAGGACACCACGCATGAGTGGGCAGTGACAGCCCCATCGCCATCCCTAAAGGAAGTGGGCAACCCTCAGTTACCTCAGCAGCCAGAGCAAGATTACTGGGGACCCCTCCCTCTGCTTTTACGCTACCAGTTAGCATTGGGGCACCTACACGGTGCAGGCACAGAAAAGCACTTCACGTGCATCCTCTCATTTCCACCTCATAATAACTCTATGACACAGTGACTGTAACCCCCATTTCACAGATAATAAAACTGCAGCTTGGGGATGTGAGTGACCTGCCTAAGACCACAGCGAAGAAATGGCAGCTCTGACACCAAGGTCCACACTCTTAACCACCTGGCTCTGCTGCCTCTACCCGATTCTACTGAACATCGTGGCACCCCAAGTGGTGCCCCTGGCTGGCCACCAAGGAGACGTCAGCTCCCTGCTCCAGAGCTACCTGTTCCTAGGTGGGCCCTGCAGCTAGCTCCGCAACTCCTGAGCATCCAGACCCCTCCTCATCTCTCCACCGGGGCCTTCTCACAGGAGGAGGCCTGGCCCAGCCATCTCAAAAGAGCATTGTGTGGCACGCACCCCATCACCATGCCTGCAATTGTGTAGGCCACCTGTAAGAGAAGAAAACAATCCCTCCATAGGGCCCTTCAGGTGACAACTGGACAAGCAGGGCAGCTCTGGTCAACTGGTTAACAAGCATCCTCCAGGAAATGTTTTCTGAAACCTACTCCCAGCACATGCAGTCCTACCTCATCACTGCCTTTTTCTTGCCTGTACCTGCCTCTGGACAAAGCTCTTTGGGCTGGGGGGAGGTCTTGTTCTGGCTTATATCTCAGCACCGGACACACCGTAGCTCTCAATGAGCTCTCAATGACCTGCGGAATGGGTGGTACTTCCTTCAGATGCCTTGTGTTGGAGCATGATGTCTGGGCCACATCCTTGACTCGGCCCTAAGCTGCATGAGCGTTGCTCTCCTGGCTTCTCCCAGCTCTGGGAAGAGGCTGGCACCCAGTAGGTGCACTGTGCGCAGGTGAGTGGGTGGCAGAGCCCCTTTCCCAGCCCTCGCAGGGCTGGTTGGCACCGTCTCCTTCTCCAGGTCTCAGCTGATGTCTCCTCCTCAACGAAGCCCTCCTGGGCCACATCATCACCTGGGTCCCTCTGTCCTGTTTACAGCCTCCACAGCACTCAGCACAGTCAGTAACCATCTGGGTTGGTTGGTTCTGTCTCCCAGACTAGACTGTGAGAGCTCCACAGAGCAGAGACCATTTCTTCCCCAGTCATTCCTGTGCACTCATACAGAGCCTAGCACGGTCAGGCACACAGCAGGTGCTCAGTAAGTATGTGGAATGGGTGGGAAAGGGTCTTCAGTGAAACAAGAGCAAAGAGCGAGAGCGAGCTGGTCCACCTTTACTTCTCTCTCAGGGACCAAAACCAAAGTTCTGAGCAGGCAGATGCCCAGGACTTCCCAATATCCACGTGCTCCCACATCCCAGCCCGAGGGGCTCAGGGCAGATCACCGCCTAAGAGCAGTGAGGGTGGGTGTGCAGCACTGTCCTGATGGGTGGAATGGAGCACTGCTTCACTGGATGTGGCCCCAGAACTCAGCTCCTGTCCCATCAGGCAACCAGACACAAGTGACCACCAACAGTGATTGAGTATAGTGCTCAGGACGTCCCTCAAGGCCCATCACACAGACCAGGTACCCAGTCGGGGGCAGGCACTGGGCAGCAGTCACATAATGACTCAGCACTGCGTATAGGCAGAGGAAATGGCTCAGATTCAGCTAATAGCTCTGCTGGAAGCACTTGGTAAAATTTAAAAATATAGATTCCTCTTTAATATACAGGGGTTAACATGGCTAACGCCAGAGTAAGGATTTGCCTTGAGCGACTTGGCCAGCTCTAGGACTGGGCTGCCCTGTCCCACCCCTCTTTGGGACCACTACTGCACCTATGACAGCCAGAGACAGGCACAGTTGGTGGGGAGGGTGCAGGGTCTCAAGGTCCGTTCCCATGAGAACGGACCAGCTGACCTGGCCTTCATGAGCACTGCACTCAGTTTCAGAGCCAGCCAGGCATAGACAAGGAAGACGTACAGATTTTCTGTGCGGCACAGACAGTAGTTGCCTCAGACATGATGGGGCAGTGGTATCCCCCCACCCACGCCCTGCTAACTGAAAAGAGGAAGCTTGACAGAAGAAATGAACCTGCTATTGTACTTGACCTAATGAAGGTGTCTATGAACACCCCAGTGTCACTCCAGTGCCGGGGGCATCATAGCATTCGGGAACCAGGAAACACCGGCTGGCTGGGTTTGCACATCATGTCAGCTTTCCCATTATACTCAAACAAAGCCCCTCTCACAGCAGCCTGGAGTTGGTGAAGCAGGGACTGCTGTCTCCATTTGATTTGTAAGGAAATTGGGGTCCAGAGAGGTTAAGTGACTCTCTCTGGGTCACACAGCATGTAAACTGCCGGGCCAGACCTTAAAAATGTTCTCCGAGTCCTATCTAGTGACGTCTTCCCTGGTCTCCCTGGCTGACTGCCTGTGTTATACATGGTTTTCCTGGATGTGACACATAAATTCTGGGCTCTGTTTCCTCATCCACATAGTGAGAAGAATTAGGCCTACTTCATGCTACCAGCCATGCCACCTACGAGTCTCTGACAAGCAGAGGGTCCAAGTTCCAAATATGTGCAAAGGCCTCACAACTATAACCCCAATTACTTTTTTCGCCTAGACTCTTTTAACAGAACACAAAAAAACTCTATAACCCTCATGGCTGTGTTCTCTGTGGGGGAAACCTTGGTGTCGTCTCATTGAGAGGCCTGGGATAGCAGGAAGTGACCCAGCTCTTCTACTGCCTAACCACTTCCGTTTGGAAGAGGCGCCCTGTCTTGTTGAGTCTCTCCTTTCTGGCTCTAGGGAGGCAGCTGCCCCTGCCTGCCACCTACCCTGATGGTGTATGGAAGCAAAAAGTGGTAAAAGCATTACAAAAGGAGAGCAGGATGTGCATTCCTTCTCAAGTACTTCCTAGTTATATGTGACCCTAGGCAAATTTTTTTATGCCCAGAGGTTGGTTTTCTCCTTACTAAAAATGGGGGGTGGTATCCCTGCCCAGCTGGCCTCCCACAGTTTCCATGGAGCCACCAATAACATTATATCTAGGAAAAGGACCAAGGACGCCCCTGAAGGGATGGCTGATTCCAAGACTAGGGCAGGGGAAGATGAGACTATCTCATTATGTTGCAAAGCAAGGAAATGTACAGAAACGGATGGAGAGGGGGCAGAAGGACACAAAAACCAGCTTGAAGGTCAAATTTGAGACAATGTGACCATCATAACGAGTAATGACATGATAGTGTATAACACACTAAATTTTAAAAATCCGTGAACCAACATTGATAGAACAAAAAATAAAAAGCAGGGAAGGGCAGAAGGAAACCTTTTCTTAACAGAAGAATGCCAACTAACAAATGTAGGAAAAATAACAGAAATAGAAAAATCACTATTTTATAACCGTCATAGTGATAACAGATCCACGTAAGATCATCAAGGAATGCTAAAGCCAATGGGTGACAGATTGTGATCCAGAATGTGCAGAAATGCACAGATACCACCTTGATCGAATGACTAAAGCAAAGATCACTAATGACAGGACAAACCCACAGCAGGTACCTTCTGACACAATGCCAGAGAAGGACTCAACATCCCTTACGGAATTCTCCTACCAAAACATTTAACCTAAATCCAAGCCTTAGGCCAATCCAGATTAAAGGACATCCTGCAAAACAACTGGACTGGGCTCTCCAGAAACGTCCAAGTGCGTGCGTGCGCGCACACGCGCACACACACACACACACATATATACACAGGGTGGAGGGAGATAAAGCAAGTGGGGCAACATGTTAACAACTGTTGAATCTAGGTAAAAATGTTCACTGTACTGTTCTCGTAACTTTTCTGTAGGTTTGAAAAATTTCAAAATAAAAGAAATGAACAAGGTCCTCCTACCAATCCTTGGAAAGCTGTGGTGTCTGCAGTGACTTGGGCACACTCACCTGTCAGGTACTCCAGGACGGCGGCCATGTACACAGGCGCGCCCACTCCGATCCTGTACTTGGGGTGGCCTTTCTTGATGTACCGCAGCATCCGGCCCACAGGGAAGATGACTCCTGCCTTGGCGGACCGGGAGGTTTTGGTGGACTTCTTCTTCCCACCCCGGCTGGACATGGCGGTGGCCCTGGAGATGGATCAGTAAACACACTGTGGAGGCAAGAGACACATGGGTCAGGATTACTGGGGACAGGGCATCTCCCCTTTCCCCATGCCTCTGGCCCCTGGAAGAAATGGGTTGTGCCAGCAGATGCCACTGCCTGCAGCCGCTGAGCCCCACAAGCCCAGTTTCTGCATTCTGCCGGTGCGCTTCAGCCCTGGAAAAGAGAACGGCTTCGCTTTTCCCGTTTTATACCATGACATCAATTTTATCGGCCACTTCCATATAAACGTTACTCTGACAATGACTGCTCTTAAGTGCCTCGCCTTTATGCCACATGATGTAAAAGAAAATGGGATTTCTTGGCTACAATCTATACGCTTGTTTAATAATTGTATTTTCATACACTTGAGACCAGGGCTGATAAATTTGCTGAAGCCTTCATAAAAGAAAAGAAAACTATGTCACCTGCCCCTAGAATGAAGATGTAAGGCATATACCTAGGTTCTCTGATGAAAGCAGTACCTCTACCTTAAGGTCCTTTATTGTGAGAGGCAAGAACAGCTCACAGGAGTTCAGTGGGCAGCCAGCACCTTCAACTACTTCTGCAGCACTGCTTCCTGCCACCCCTGCCCAGGCTGATGTCCCAGGCTGCCCCTGGAGTTAAGAGGCCCTCTGAGCACTTGCAGACTGCTAGACAGGCCTGTCCTTAGAGAAGAGGGAGGAGAGTTCTTCCTTCCTTGGCCCCCACCCCCCCCATCCAAAATGCCCCTCAGTCCGAAGGATCCCCCCTCTTCAACACCTACTGTGGAGTCCTCTCTTTTCCACCCCGACTGTGCCTGGATCCAGGTCACCACTATCTTAACCAAACGATCACAAACATCTCCTGAAAAGGTCTTCTCACCACAGGCCACACTCTAATCTACCTGCCCTCCACTGGCTGGGCTATCTCCGTACACACAAATCTGAATACGCCATGGCCCAGGTCTTAAAGCTTTCCTTGCTGCCACAATTCCCAAGATAAAATCAGGACCCCTGGACTGTCACGAAACGCCCTAGAAATCTAGGCCTGGCACCCCCATCTAGTTTTACCTGTGCTTCCTTAGGTCTAAACGCAAACACAGGTAGTGTCCCCAAATGCCCTCCTCCACCGTGGCTGTGCCTGTTAGCCAGGACCTCCTTTACCCTTCATGCTTCTTTTCTGCCCTCTGCCAACCCCTCCCTGAGTGCTCCATCCTCTGGGCTCCTATGTGCTTCACACCACAGCACTGACGTGCACACGGCCCCGCCCCACCCCGCTGTCTCTCCCATCACACTGCAAGGTCTCAGACGGCTGCCCCCAACTGTATACCTAGTGTAGCACCACACAGTAAGGTCACAAATGTTCACTAAGAGCATTCAAGTCATTCATGCATTCACTTCAGGAATTATGCTGGGGAATGGAGACAGCAGTGCACGAGACTGATGTGGTTCCTGTTCTCCCAGAGCTGGTGGGGAAGAGAAACAATAAATAACCCGACAATCATTTAAATGGTAACTGTGAAAGGCCAGTGCAGGGTGCTGGGAGAGGGGCTATGCAGAGCCCTCAGCCTGTTCTGGGGCGTCAGACATGCCTTCCCTCGAAGTCACTGATGCTCAGACCACTGAATAAAATGGGCAGGTCTCTCATCTTCTCGTAAACTGAGGTCAGGCTCCACGGTGTGTGGGCCCCGCCAGCTGCCACAGCCCATATCTCTATGACCATGGAAGCCACAAAGTTAGGAGTCCCTGTTACTCTGACACCCGACCCTACATTCAAGATATGCATGGTCTATACCTAACATCAGTATGACCCCCAAGATCATCTCAGATCACATGCCTGACAGAGAGATGGCCAAAACAGTAGAGAGCAGAATTCCTGGACACTCTGGGGCAGCTGTGCTGACTGGCTCACCAGAATTAAGGGGGCTCAAGGCCTCTGTAATGAGAACCCTGTATTTCACCCTGTCACGGGGGGCACCAAGTCTTAACTGTTCACTGAGCGCTAAATAGAGTCCCAGAAGGGTCTGGTTTTTCTGAAACAATTAGTTGGCTCCATTTCTTCTGTAATGAGCTCTATTTTAAAACATTCCCTGCAAACAGGTGCCCGTGCTCACTCTGAGCAGGAAATGGTATGTGTACACGTGTGTGCATGTGTGTTCGCAGGGAAAAGCTGTAACTGGGCTCCTAGCAGTCTTCTGCTTTAATGCAAATGTGTTTCACAGACCAACCCCATTCCTTTGGCCTAACAGCTTTTACATCTGAATGCTTCCCCCCTTCCAGAAGGAGAAGCCTGTTCTTATTGGAGCACAGACTCCAGCTCTGTCTACAGGCGGACCTGTCTGGGTATGTTTGGGGCTGCCTTTGTGGGAATGGGACAATCTCCTGTCCCAGAGAGGAGGCACTACCATTGAGGGATCTGATGGGTCCTAGACACGCTTATTCTTCAAAAGTAATGCTCCTGGGGTTTCCCTCTGACTTGAGTCAAGAGTCTTAGTCGACATGCTGGTGACTCCCAGGTCCCTAACCCAGTGCACACCTGTTTGCTGAGCCCCAGAGCTCTGTTCTAACTGCCTGCGGCAGGGTCCACTTGTTAAGTCACACAGGCAGGTGAACTCCTGGGTTTCTCAGCCCCAGCAGTGGCAAAACCATGCATCAAGCTGCCAGGCGGGAGTCACCCTGTCCCTGTTTCTCTGCCCACCACCACAGCTCCCAGTCATTAGTGAGGTTCCACGGAGGCTTCCCTAACTTCTCAAGCCTCTTCCCTTCTCTTCGCCCTCCCTGCCTTGGTTCAGCTCCCACTATTTCTCACCTGTTTTCCCCAGCACCAGTCTCTCTCCATGGACACCAGAGGATCTCTGCCCACTTTGCTGGTTCCCCATCACCCTGAGCCAGCCACAAACAGCATCCTTCAACTACTTCTGCAGCACTGCTTCCTGCCACCCCTGCCCAGGCTGATGTCCCAGGCTGCCCCTGAATTCCTGACCTGTGAAGCTGTGTCCAGAATGTTTTTATACACGCTGCTTCCCCTGCCTGAAACACCCTTTGTCCTCTTGCCAACCTGCTGAACTGATGCTCACACAATCCCTCTCCTCGGTCCTGACCATGGAATTGCTCACTGCTCTGTGTTCCCACAGAACATACCCCGGCACATATCTGTGTGCCTGCCTCCCCAGTTCGACTCAACCTGGAGCTACTCCATGCCAGGTGCTGTAGTCAACTCATCTGTAGCTCCCCAGGTCCCAGGAAAGATCTTAAACATCACTGCCACTCTGCTGATAGAAGAACATCTTCACGTCTTATTTGGAGTCAGGCTCCTCTCTGATAGAGCAGCCCGAGTTTTCATCCCCTCCCCAAGGGGCCTGTCCTGAAGGGATTCTGTTCCTCTCCCCTCCTCATGTGCTTCCTGCACTTCTAACTATAAATCCCCAAGCTGCAGGCACAGCTCTGAAAGAATTCTGACTGAGCCATGCAGCCTCATGACATCCAGTAACTGTGGTGGTTTTTAAAACGTCATTTGGAAACCGATGTGCAATCTCCAGATCAACCAATCTACGAACACGCCGGGTCCGTCCTGCTCTCCAGAGGTCTATGGGATGCGGGGCAGCTGTGGCCAGGCACCAACATGGGGGGAGAGAGTGGCTGTGACAGAAGTGGCTGTTGAGCACTGTGGTTAATAACTCGAATTCCAAAGTCAGACTGACCTGATTCAAGTCACAGCCCCACCACTGAAAGCCTATGCGTCCTAGGTTAGCTGCTGAAACAAATAAGCGCCCCCAGCTTACTTCTCACTTGTGAAAAGTCCAAAGTGGCTTCCATGACTGGCTGGTGCTTCTCTGCAGGATGATTTGTGGATCCAGACTCCTCCCACCCTTCAATGCACAATTCAGGGTTTACTACTGGAGGGAAAGGGCCATGGAGGACAACACATGGGGGCTTTCAGAGGCCAGGCCTGGAAGTGGGGCACATCACCCCTGACTGTGATCCACCGACTAGAATGTGGTCACGTGGCCACACCTAATTGCAAGAGATTGGGAAATGGCCTCCAGCTATGTGCTCGAAGAAAAGAGGAAACAGCCAGTCTCTGTAACCTGACAAACCAACTTGAAAGCTGACCCTGAAACCAGGGTCTGAGCGACCAGTCAAAGCCTACTTTGACCCATGTCCTGTGTCTAGCCTTTTCGGAGAGACGGACAGTCCTACGTCATGGAGCAAGTGGCTTCTTCTGCATTCACCTTCTCTTCGGGGCACTGAGCTTGCCCACAGGAGAAACAGCAATAATACCTTATCGAACTAACAAAGCTGTGTCCTTCCTTCCTGGACTCGTCCACCAGGGGGGCACCCTGTTAGCAAACCAGAAGCCCTCAGCCCTGTAGAGGGCCCCACAGGCTTTGAAAACAGTGATAGGTCTTCAGGCAACCCTGGCATCTGTTAGTTACTGAACATTAGCTTGGCGGTCTTTTTGACTGTTATCAGGCCAGGAAATGAAAATTCTGTGGTTGGTCCTGAAGGGATCTCTGTGGTCTTTATCTCTGCAACTCCTCCAACAATCAATCATTCACAATAGACATGAACCGTGTTTGCAGAAACCCAAAGTTCACACAGAGACACACTGGTGGAGGGGGCTGTAGAGGGAAGAGCCAGGCTTGAGTGAGAAGCAGGTCTTTGATGACAAGCCCCCCAGCGATCGAGATGAGACCGCGACAATGTGATCTGTCCTCAAAGCACAGGACAAAGGAGAAGCCTGGCTGTGAGGATTCCATGAATAAAATGGACACGAAAACAAGGAGGAGGGGCAACAGAGTTCAGGAGGGGAAACAGCCACCCTACCACACCGTTCTATTCCTCACCAACAGGGCACCCTTACTGGTTCCTAAGTGCGCTGCAAACCACCTTCATTCCCACTTCCACCCTTCGGCACATGCCACTTGCTCAGTCTGGAACTCTCTCTCCAGCCCTCAGTCTGGGGCAATCCTACCTAGTGGTCCCAACATGTCCTCTGGCGATGGAGACCCACTCCTGCAGTGGCTGT